TTGTAGATCTTTGTGGCTGGCACAACCATTTACTTGCATCACAATGATTACGAATGGTATGATTGAGGCGTGTCCACCCTTCAATATGATCAGTATTGACTCTGGAAGATTCGTAGTGATCCATTTGACTTTTTGCTTGTCAGATTCACACACCGCTGGTCTGTTCATTTGTATGATGACACAATTCGAGATACATAAACCTCCAAGAACTGTTTTCATAATGAGACAACCCTTAGGGATGTGGGCAGGTGTATGTATATATGCACACCTGTTCGCGACGGATAAAAAGGCAAATTCCCGTATGTAATAATAAGAATAATTATAAAACTATCAGGAGGTATGGATGTACAAATAAAATATATTATGTATGTACAGTATTGTCAAATCACAGTAAAATGGCCAACGATGACAACGCTCATAAGTAATGAGTCATGGCAGGCAACGAGATGGTCAGATGGAAACGATATGAAGTTTTGGCGGTCAATTTGAACCAATTATATTGAGCTAAAAGTTGTATGCGATTTTGCCCTCTTTACTCTGTGTAAGTTTTTTTTTAAATTTTGACCCCCGTTGTATACAACATTTATTATTTTAAAACAAAATTGAGAATGAACGCGATGTTTAACGATCCACTCACATATCGTATCCCCCTCTGGAAGTCCATGTATGGAGTATGTGTGTTCATACTACTAGTCAACTAATGAATGACTAAAAGTATTCAGTATTGTATGTAGATCTTAATTATATGTAGAATACTTTAACTTTTTTTAGAGCACGCTTCATGTGAACAAAATGCTTTTCCTACTCCATTTTGGCTGCCGTAGCTGGCGGGTCTTTGTCTTTGCCGAGATAGGTCAAGACACTGCGAAGCACTTAGTGTAGCGTTATGGTTGTGTTTAGATGGAAATGTAGTATTCTTTCGAGATGAAAAGTAGAATCTACATATAGTATATACGACTGGGTTGTGTACCATTCATACAGCATCGCTCAATAGAGAGAAAAAAGGTCGTGTATCTTATCCCATCTTACCGCAACACCAAGAGGCAAGTTACGTACTGACAGTCAAAATTGAAGTGTCAACATGGACACTCGGGAGCGCGTACTATGGGACAAGTACTTTATACAGTATATTATAATGGTCCGCGGATGTCCTGGAACGGTATGCTTATTCAGCCTGACATACAATAAGTTCTGTATTTACATTACGATTACAATGTACGTGTGCACAGCTTTCTGTTGTGGTCACCATTCTGTTTTGCTTTTATGTTCGTAAATGTCACTACAATGACTTCTATCTTAGCTGTCTGGAATTTGAATTAGATCTATCAATCGATATGCCAGTTCAGTCTAATCTCTGTGGGTTCGATATTGATGACGTGGTACAACGTCAGGCGTATTGTTTTATGCAATGCATATAGTGAACAATACAATACATTAACTCTGCTGCATGAAAGGTTGTGTATGTAATTTTTGTGATCTGTCAAAACATCCAGCACACAATCAATGGTATTATTGAGAGAATTGCATTTATCCGCTGGACGTCGTATTACCGCATACTAACTTTTAAGTGAGGCTGTTCATCGTTGTATTATACGCACGCGTACAATTCTGTTCTAGATGTAATGTCTTTTTAATATGTGCGTGCGCAACAGTCTTTCCATTGCAAACACGCACAACAATCCTATAAGCCCCAAGTTAATAGCTGCAGATAGCACGACAAAGTTTACTGTCCGTTTGCTCTCATGTACCATCGAGTTCGGATAGGTCACACTTCTAAAATAGACAAGCTGTAGTATACTGTATTGTATTATTCTACTCATTATTGAAGGCATACGAAAACGAGATGACAAACAAAAAAAGCAAACTTTTTAATAAGGTGTGATTTGTCCGCTTATTGGTGGTTTAGTTCAATGTCGAATGTTATTCTTTAAATGCACGTGACTATAAGACACATTGATGGGGTTGAGGTACTCAATCTAGTTATACTAATATATAGAGATATGCGAGTGTACAGACACACACAATAGTGGGTCACACAATGGTGAACCAAGAAATTGAACGTATGCGCTGTGCTCGTGGATATTGTACAAATACACTGAAGTGTACCTCGAACGTATTTCTTGAACTCCGTACCTGTCAGAATTTAGATTTGAATCCCAACAATCGAAGACTGTGCCGCATAAACACAAATCTATGTGTCTTTCCTATTGAAATTGATGTATATGTCTATATAAATTTGTCACCTGTTACTTCACATTTCGTATAGCACTGCGCACAGGCACGGGTCGCGACTATATTAGAAGGAATTTGCATTTGCATATACGGAGTTGTTTGGAAGACCCGTGTAGAACAGACTTAGAATAAAAAATATTTTTATTTGACGATTGTACGAACAGTTTAGAACGGAGATGTTTATCCAGTTATGCTGTATCATCGAGGATTTGTAGAAGACCTACGAATATGCCCGACTGGATTTTAGTTCATTTAACAATGTGTACACCTATGCAAGTGAATGGTTCTATGTCAGTATTTACGTTTTACGGAATTCTAAATCACGCACCTATATATTGCTCCCACACACATTCCTATCTGAGTATCATGTCACAAGTGGCCTGATATGTAACTGTGCGTATGGATGCGTCAAACCTCGATTTGGCACAGGCGCATGACGTCGATGAGCTTCGTATCCTACCGTATTCCCTGTCTCCTGCCGTGTATGACGTCTACGTTGATAACATACAAAATTGCATTTTTATTCACATACAACTCGAATGTTCTACAAACAGTTATTGCAGACTAAATATACATACATATATATATATATATATATAATATAATAATGTATATATGT